CCGCGCCACCATCCTTGGACCCATCTGTAAATAAGGATTTGTATGTATTATATTTATTTTTTAATTGATTATATTCTTGTTTGTATTGCAATTCATTAGTTTCGGATTTCTTAAACTTTGTCAGAGTTAAGTCAACTTCAGGAGTCACCAATTGCCAAGGAGGCGAAGAAAGAAGACGGGAAGGAGCTATATTTTCCAGCTCAATGCCGGCAGCAGAAATCAATGGCTTAATTCTGTGGCCAAGAGGCGGTACAAGAGAAGATTTTTTGTTGTACAAATCCTCATAAAGAGGATTGAAAACACAGTTAAATGCAGGATTAGACTCGTTAGAATAGAGTTTTGTAATATACTGAAAGGATAGTTTTATACGGCGATGGTTAAGAGGTGGATCATCGGCCTCCACATAGAGACTGTCAATAGGGAGAAAGTTCTGAAGGATGCAAGACAAAGTCTTAGACCTTGGTGGTGAACAGAATCAAGTAGTTTTAAGTTGCTTTTGCAGGCTCCACCATATACGATGGAGCCATAGTCAAGAATAGATCGGACCAGTGAACTATATACGTGAAGGTGCGTAGTTTGGTCACCTCCCCACTTTGAATTAGAAACTACTTTCAGTAAGTCAAGTGCCTTTAGGCATTTATTATTTAAGTATTTAATATGTGGTAAGAAAGTCAGATGAGAATCAAAAATAAGTCCCAAGAACCTGGCCTCCTTTACAACCGTGATGGGTGTGCCATTTAAAAATAATTCTGGGTCTTTTATGCGGTTTATATTTTCTACAGAAATGTATACAATTTGTTTTGGATTTAGAAAATTGAAAACCCTTTTCAAGACACCATTTATGAATGTTATTAAGGCATAATTGTAACTGCCTCTCTATTGTATGCATATTTTTACCACGACAAGAAACATTAAAATCATCCACGAAAAGTAATCCATCAACTGCATCATTTAAAACTTTAGAAAGACTATTTATTTTAATACTAAGTAAAGTAACAGACAAAATACTGCCTCGTGGGACACCCTGATCCTGAATGTAATGATCAGACAGGGTTGAACCCACTCGGACTTGAAATTGCCTGTCTCTTAAAACATTTGGTTGACGTCATAAGGTTAATGGCCTGCGATTTCCTGACACTTTACCTTGTAGTCCCTTTTCTAACAGAAATGGTGAATAGGAGCAAGTGTTCGTTCACCCTTTGCTTCCAAAACAAGAATCGTGGCCAAGTATCCCTTTCAGAATATAAAAGTTTAGTAACAACATCATCTTCATCAGAGTCAAGCTCAGAATCAGATTCGGAAAGTTGCCGTTTAGTTTTTTTTGGATTTCGCTTACCTATAGTGAATTGTATATTGGTTCATCAAATCTGTTCCCTGCCCACCATGGAGCGCCAACAAGGGCGATCTCATAGGTATGCGGTGTTCCAGCAAACTGACACCAAAGTGTTACAGAAATGATATACTCCAGTTAATCAAGATAATAAACCAGGTTGGCCCATGAGCCACTGCCTTCTGGGTATAAGCTTTAGGCAAGAATATTAAATAACTTCGTGAACACAGGAGTATTCAAAATGAGTGTACCGAGTAAAGACATAGCACAAATACATACCACAGGGCTCGGCGTGACCAGCCGATTGATTGAACCGGGCCAGTTCAACCACCCGTCTAGGTGAAGTAGGGGGCGAAGTGGTGTGTTGGGCAAAGGAACACTGTTCCTGGAACCAGTGCCCTCAACCACCAGCCTCCCGTCCTCCACCGACACAGGGGCGCAACCCACGGCCAACAGGTTGGTGGACCAAATAAACCCCCGGGTCCACAACGGGGGGTCGAAGAGCGCTTAGCGTTACCCAGCACCCACCACGAGGAGGTGGCGCTTCACGGATGCCCATTTCCTTCTGTCCCCAGGTTAATGCAGCCTGTCCTTCTGTCTTCCAGTTCAACGCAGCATGTCATCCTGTCTTCTAGCTTAATGCAGCATGTCCTTCTGTCTTCCAGTTTAACGCAGCATGTCATTCTGTCTTCTAGTTTAACGCAGCATGTCCTGGTGTTTTCTAGCTTAATGCAGCATGTCCTGTTCTGTCCCCAGGTTGATGCAGCATGTCCTTCTGTCCCCAGGTTAATGCAGCATGTCCTTCTGTCCCCAGTCTAATGCAGCATGTCCTTCTGTCCCAAGTCTAATGCAGCATGTCCTTCTGTCCCCGGCCTAATGGAGCATGTCCTTCTGTCCCCAGTCTAATGGAGCATATCCTTCTGTCCCAAGTCTAATGGAGCATGTCCTTCTGTCCCCAGTCTAATGGAGCATGTCCTTCTGTCCCCAGTCTAATGGAGCATGTCCTTCTGTCCCCAGTCTAATGCAGCATGTCCTTCTGTCTCCAGGTTAATGCAGCATGTCCTTCTGTCCCCAGGTTAATGCAGCTAATGCAGCATGTCCTTCTGTCCCCCCTAATGCAGCATGTCTGTCCTCAGCCTAATCGAGCATGTCCTCCTGTCCCAATGTCCTTCTGTCCCAAGTCTAATGGAATGTCATTCTGTCCCCAGCAGCATGTCCTTCTGTCCCCAGGTTAATGCAGCAGGTTAATGCAGCTTTTCCTTCTGTGTTGATGGAGCTTCTGTCCCCAGTCCCCAGTCTAATGCAGCATGCATGTCCTTCATGTCCTTCTGTCCCGAGTCTAATGCAACATGTCCTTCTGTCCCGAGTCTAATGGAGCATGTCCTTCTGTCCCCAGCCTAATGCAGCATGTCCTTCTGTTCTGTCCTGAGTCTAATGCAGCATGTCCTTCTGTCCCCAGTCTAATGAGTCTAATGCAGCATGTCCTTCTGTCCTTCCAGCCGAATGCAGCATGTCCTTCTGTCCCCAGTCTAATGGAGCATGTCCTTCTGTCCCCAGTCTAATGCAGCATGTCCTTCTGTCCCCAGTCTAATGGAGCATGTCCTTCTGTCCCCAGTCTAATGGAGCATGTCCTTCTGTCCTAATGGAGCAGTCCTAATGCTAATGGAGCATGTCCTTCTGTCCCCAGTCTAATGCAGCATGTCCTTCTGTCCCCAGCAGCATGTCCTTCTGTCCCCAGCCTAATGCAGCATGTCCTTCTGTCCCCAGTCTAATGCAGCATGTCCTTCTGTCCCCAGCCTAATGCAGCATGTCCTTCTGTCCCCAGTCTAATGCAGCATGTCCTTCTGACCCCAGTCGAATGCAGCATTTCCTTCTGTCCCCAGTCGAATGGAGCATGTCCTTCTGTCCCCAGTCTAATGCAGCATGTCCTTCTGTCCCCAGTCTAATGCAGCATGTCCTTCTGTCCCCAGCCTAATGCAGCATGTCCTTCTGTCCCCAGTCTAATGCAGCATGTCCTTCTGACCCCAGTCGAATGCAGCATTTCCTTCTGTCCCCAGCCTAATGGAGCATGTCCTTCTGTTCCTAGCCTAATGCAGCATGTCCTTCTGTCCCCAGTCTAATGCAGCATGTCCTTCTGTCCCCAGTCTAATGCAGCATGTCCTTCTGTCCCCAGTCTAATTGAGCATGTCCTTCCGTCCCCAGTCTAATGGAGCATGTCCTTCTGTCCCCAGTCTAATGCAGCATGTCCTTCTGTTCCCAGTCTAATGTAGCATGTCCTCTTGTCCCCAGTCTAATGGAGCATGTCCTTCTGTCCCCCCTGTTTAAAGCTGCATATCCTTCTGTCCCCAGTTTAATGCAGCATGTCCTTCCGTCCGCAGGTTCATGCAGCATTCCCTTCAGTCCCCAGGTTGATGCATCATGTCCTCCTGTATTCTAGTTTAATGCAGCATGTTCCCCTGTCTTCCAGTTTAATGCAGCATGTCCTCTTGTCTTCCAGTTTAATGCAGCATGTCCTTCTGTCCTTTGAAGAATGTAGCGTAGTCCCACTGTAGAGTTGATAACGGTTATAATTACTTATAATTGCTTATGTTTGTCTCCATTGAGAATACGTGAGAGACCCACATGCCTTGGTGACGACACCCAGCCTCAGTTTGATGCCTAGAACTAGTTTAATCAGAGCAGAATGGCGTTAGAATCCTGTCACATCTTGCTGTTAAGACCTCAGGTTGAGGTCGGCTGTTACATGGATAGTTTGTCAGCTACCAGACAACAGGAATACGCTCGGTATCATGCACGTCAGCTATGTTTAGAAAGACAACAGGAATACGCTGGGTATCATGCATATATTTATACGCACAGTCAAACGTAAATAAAGATATCACAGTCACCTTCTTTGGCACATTTCAGAAGTAACTAATATGTTCGTAGTATACATATAAAGAGATTATTTACCTGTATATGTACATATAAACGTGAAATGTTTTATCGCTATTTCAAAAGGGTTGCTAAGTATTTCTTTAAACCGGGTTGGATATGAAGTACGCCCAGTATTTGCCTAATCTGATGCTGACAGACTACGCGAAAGACAATACAGCATGAAACACCATTTAAATATCAAAATCAACGCAAAGAATTTCTTGGCAATCCCTTCATCGTCTTGCTTCGACCGCAACCAACTGAAACGCCCCTCACCTCTACCTGCCTATCCACAGCATATCTCTACAGACAATGTATCCCCGCCACAGTGCTGGAGTTAGCTTAAGTCTGAATAGCATGCAGCCTGGACACAGTCCGTATGATAAACTTATGACACAGCCTCATGACATGTTAGTAAGACACAGCCTCATGGCATGTTAGTTAGACAGAGCCTCATGGCATGTTAGTTAGACAGAGCTTCATGACATGTTAGTAAGACACAGCCTCATGACATGTTAGTTAGACACAGCCTCATGGCATGTTAGTTAGACAGAGCCTCATGGCATGTTAGTTAGACACAGCCTCATGGCATGTTAGCTAGACAGAGCCTCATGGCATGTTAGACAGAGCTTCGTGGTATGTTTGTTATGGCATGATAGACAGAGACTTCATGGCATGTTAGACAGAGACTTCGTTATGTTTGTTAGAGCCTCATGACATGTTAGTTAGCCTCATGACATGAGACACAGCCTCATGACATGTTAGTTAGACACAGCCTCATGGCATGTTAGTTAGACACAGCCTCATGGCATGTTAGTTAGACACAGCCTCATGGCATGTTAGTTAGACACAGCCTCGTGGCATGTTAGCTAGACAGAGCCTCATGGCATGTTAGCTAGACAGAGCCTCATGGCATGTTAGACAGAGCCTCATGGCATGTTAGCTAGACAGAGCCTCATGACATGTTAGACAGAGCTTCGTGGTATGTTTGTTAGATAGACAGAGACACATGGCATGTTAGTTAGACAGAGCCTCATGACATGTTAGTAAGACACAGCCTCATGACATGTTAGTTAGACACAGCCTCATGGCATGTTAGCTAGACAGCGCCTCATGGCATGTTAGTTAGACACAGCCTCATGGCATGTTAGTTAGACACAGCCTCATGGCATGTTAGTTAGACACAGCCTCATGGCATGTTAGCTAGACACAGCCTCATGGCATGTTAGCTAGACAGAGCCTCATGGCATGTTAGTTAGACAGAGCCTCATGGCATGTTAGTAAGACACAGCCTCATGACATGTTAGTTAGACACAGCCTCATGGCATGTTAGCTAGACAGAGCCTCATGGCATGTTAGTTAGACACAGCCTCATGACATGTTAGTAAGACACAGCCTCATGACATGTTAGTAAGACACAGCCTCATGGCATGTTAGCTAGACAGAGCCTCATGGCATGTTAGTTAGACAGAGCCTCATGGCATGTTAGCTAGACACAGCCTCATGGCATGTTAGACAGAGCTTCGTGGTATGTTTGTTAGATAGACAGAGACACATGGCATGTTAGTTAGACAGAGCCTCGTGGTATGTTTGTTAGACAGATCCTCAATGGAAAGCTGCTTCAGTCAGGGCCTGATTTACAAGCTGCTTAGACTAAATTCCACATCATTTCCTTCACATAAGAATAGGCAAGTCGAAAGGCTTACCGAAGGTAGACAGCCGAAAGGTCAAGCGTGTATATTATAGATATATGATACAGGTACCATCCTAATAGGTCCAAAGTTACAAACACAATTGTAACAGTGCCAGCGATGGTACGCAATGCACAGATCATTGCTCTTGTCAAAGGTAAGATAATTAATTGTAATGAACGAATTAATATAGTTAAGCAGCATGGAGATCAATATACAGTTCTACAGACAGTACACAGCACATCCGATTTCTTCGGCTAGCGGTAGTAGACAGGGGTGATCTGAGTTTTGCCAACTCCCGGATCATTCACTGAAAAATAACCAAGGAAGAACTTAGCATAACATCACTGGAAACACAAGCAGTGTACTCCTTACACGAATCGCTCTTCATCATTAATACGCATCTTAACTACACAGACCTATGGTAATCCTACATACGCATCTTAACTACACAGACCAATGGTAATCCTACATACGCATCTTAACTACACAGACCAATGGTAATCCTACATACGCATCTTAACTACATAGACCAATGGTAATCCTACATACGCATGGTAACTACACAGACCAATGGTAATCCTACATACGCATCTTAACTACACAGACCAATGGTAATCCTACATACGCATCTTAACTACACAGACCAATGGTAATCCTACATACGCATCTTAACTACACAGACCAATGGTAATCCTACATATGCATCTTAACTACACATACCAATGGTAATCATACATACGCATCGTAACTACATAGACCAATGGTAATCCTACATACGCATCTTAACTACACAGGCCAATGGTAATCCTACATACGCATCTTAACTACACAGACCAATGGTAATCCTACATACGCATCTTAATGACACAGACAAACGGTAATCCTACGGACGCATCTTAACTCCACATACCAATGGCAATCCTACATACGCATCTTAACTACACATACCAATGGTAATCATACGGACGCATCTTAATTACACAGACCAATGGTAATCATACGGTCGCATCTTAATTACACAGACCAATGGTAATCCTACATACGCATCTTAATTACACAGGCCATCGGTAATCATACGGACGCATCTTAATTACACATACCAATGGTAATCGTACAGGCGCATCTTAACAACACAGACCAACGGTAATCATACAAGAGGAAGTTAGTTACACAGACCAATGGCAATCATACGGACGCATCTTAACTACACAGACCAATGGAAATTATACAGACACCTCCTAATCACACAGACTAATGGTAATCGTACAGGCGCATCTTAACTAGACAGACCAATGATAGTCATACAGACATATGTTAACTACACAGACCAATGGAATTTATACAGACGCCTCCTAATTACACAGACCAATGGTAATCATACAGGCGGATGTAAACTAGACAGACGAATGGTAATCATTAAGGCGCATCCTAACTACACAGACCAATGGAAATTATACAGATGCCCCTTAATCACACATACCAATGGTATTCCAACATACTCATCTTAATTACACAGACCAACGGTAATCCTACAAGAGGAAGTTAATTACACAGACCAATGGTAATCATACGGACGCATCTTAACTAAACAGACCAATGGTAATCATACGGACACATCTTAACTACACAGACCAATGATAATCCTACATACGCATCTTAACAACACAGACCAACGGTAATCATACAAGAGGAAGTTAGTTACACAGACCAATGGCAATCATACGGACGCATCTTAACTACACAGACCAATGGAAATTATACAGACACCTCCTAATCACACAGACTAATGGTAATCGTACAGGCGCATCTTAACTAGACAGACCAATGATAGTCATACAGACATATGTTAACAACACAGACCAATGCGCATCTTCATTACACAGACCAATGGAAATTATACAGATGCCCCTTAATCACACATACCAATGGTATTCCAACATACTCATCTTAATTACACAGACCAACGGTAATCCTACAAGAGGAAGTTAATTACACCGACCAATGGTAATCATACGGACGCATCTTCATTACACATACCAATGGTCATCATACGGACGCATCTTAAACCCAGAGACCAATGGTCATCATACGGACACATCTTAATTACACAGACCAATGGTAATCATAGAGGCGTATCTTAACTAGACAGACCAATGGTAATCATACAGGCGCATCTTAACTAGACAGACCAATGGTAATCATACAGGTGCATCCTAAATACAGAGACAAATGGTAATCATACAGGCGCATCTTAACTACAGAGACCAAGTAGTACCATTGATGGAAAGCGAGTTAGATGTCAGGAAAGTACTTACACATGTTGACTCTGACACTTGAGGTGGTGCTGACACGGTTGTTCTTGAGGTTTGACTCTCGCCTGCAAGTATTGGAAATGTTGGATTTGGGACGTGTCACTCATACCAGAGACCATATAATTATCATAATAAACTAGCGTCCAAAAGAAACGCCACCAAACAGATTTCTTCACTAAAACACAACAAACGCAAATTATGGTAACAAGAAGTGTTGTATTGTAAAACACAATCATTCAGCAACAGTTCTTGAAACTTTTCAGTTAGAAAAACGAAACAGTTCGTGTTCTGAAGGCACATGGATGACACCGGTGTGCAGTGTCCAGTATTCGATCGCCAACGCTGATTCGTCTTTAAGGTCTTAAACTGTCTTGAACAACACAGATGATTCAGTTTCGTGTGTGGCCACCCCTAGCAGTGATGCAGGCTCTATCGCTGCGTCGAACTGAGTGTGTCAGCCTTCTGACGTCATCATTTGGGATTCGGCGCCATTCCTCTTGCAGGGCAACTGCCAACGCGTCCATAGTCAATGGCGGCTGTTGACGTTTCCGAATACGTTGCCCCAGTTGGTCCCAGATGGTGTTCGATTGGAGACAGATCGGGTGATCTCGCTGGCCACTGAAGAAGGTTGACGTTGTTAGTGTTGTGGAAGTCACTTGTGATCCGGGCTGTGTGAGGTGTGGCGTTTTCCTGTTGAAACAGAGTCCTTGGGTGACGTTGCAGGTAAGGCAGCACCACAGGCCGTAAAACCTCGTCGATGTAACGACGTGCGGTGATAATACCGTTGATGATGACGAGATCTGTCTTCTGGTCCCCACAAACTCCGCCCCAGACCATAACGCTTCCACCGCCGTAATGCTCCACTTCTTGGATGCAAGCAGGTTCCGTCCGTTCGCCCCGACGTCGGTAGATTCGAACACGACCATCAGATTTGAATGGCTGGAACCTGCTCTCGTCACTGAAGAGCACTCTTCGCCAGTTTCGCTGCTGCCACTGCATTACGGTCCGTGCCCACTTCAATCTGGCACGTCGTTGTCGGAGCGTTAACGTCATGCCCTTGAAAGGTCGATAGGCACGAATACCATGCTGACGGAGTCGTCTTGCTACGGTCTGTCTCCTGACTGCATGTCCAAGGCTATTGGCGCTTGGTGACGTCACAGTGAGGTAGCGGTTTCTCAGATGAAGCATCCGTGAAGATCGATCTTCCTGTGGGGTCGTGACCTTAAGTCTGCCACTCCTGGGTCTGTCAGCAGTACTGCCAGTCTGTCTGTGACGTGTGACAAGTCTGGCGATGGTGGACTTGCAGCATCCCATGATCCTGGTCACGTGCTCCTGTGTTGCGCCCATCTGAAGCATACCAATTGCTCTTTCCCTCTGTTCTTTGGTCAATCGAGGCATGTTGGCTGCTTTCAATCATCTCACATGAGAACAAATCTAGTCAGGTTTTATACCCTCATGTCATACGGGTAACTTTGTGCAAAATTTCCATTATTTCTGTGCGAATTCATTTGACTCACTAATCATCAAATTTCTTGCACTTGTTCACTGGGAATAGACAGGTTGTGTTCGAGGGATGTGTTTTCAGACGTTTTTCGCCGTTTTTCAGCAGATTGGCAATTATTTTGACAATTTATGATAATTTTTATTTTGGTGGCGATTCTTTTGGACGCTAGTTTATTATATGGTCTCAGCTCATACAGTGTAACAGCAGTAAGTAGCCACATGCGGCGAACTATAATTAATTGGTATTCTCACATGGTGTGAGTTTCACATCCTCAAATACTAAACTATTCACTATTATATAATATTGCTATACTCACGAGTTGACTTTGTATCTTCTTGTGTTCGACTTATTACTGTTCCTGGTTGCACATCGCTTCTTCGCCTGGATCCCACCAACAACCGCTGCAGCCGTCAGAGCGCCTCCTATGGCCACAGCTCCACAGATTAAACCAGCCATAGCCCCCGGGCTCAACGAAGAGAATCCATTGGAGCCTGACCCAGCTGAGTTGGACAGTAGGTTGAGAGCTCCATTGGCCCCACCGGCTATGTTGCCATTTGTATTACCGTTAGCGTTAGCGTTTGCGTTTGCGTTGGCATTTGCATTTGCGTTGGCGTTCGGATCTGGTGTCTGAGTGGGTGGTGGTGGAACGGTAGTGACAAGCACGTATTGGAGGTCCAGCTGGGAGACACACAAGATATGCTACCATTTCACAGATGCAGACACACAATATATACTACCATTTCACAGATGTAGACACACAAGATATGCTATCATTTCACAGATGCAAACACACAAAATATGCCACCATTTCACATATGCAGACACATAAGATATGCTACCATTTCACAGATGTAGACACAAAAGACATACTACCATTTCGCAGATGCAGACACACAAGATATACAACCATTTCACGGATGCAGCCACGCAAGATATGCGACCATTTCACAGATGCAGACACACAAGATATGCTACCATTTCCAATATGCAGACACGCAAGATATGCTACCATTTCACAGATGCAAACACACAAGATATGCCATTATTTCAAAGATGCAGGCACGCAAGATATGCTACCATTTCAGAGATGCAGACACTCAAGATATGCTACCATTTCATAGATGCAAACAAAATATCTGCCACTATTTTATAGATGCAGACACACAATATATGCCACCATTTTACAGAGGCAGACACACAAGATAGTCTACCATTTCACACATGCAGACACATAAGACATGACACCACTTCACAGATGCAGACACACAAGATATGCCACTATTTCACAGGTGCAGACGCAGAAAATATGCCACCACTTCACAGATGCAGACACACAAGATACTCCACTATTTCACAGATGCAAACACACAAAATATGCCACCATTTCACAGATGCAGACACATAAGATATGCTACCATTTCAAAGATGTAGACACAAAAGACATACTACCATTTCGCAGATGCAGACACACAAGATATACAACCATTTCACGGATGCAGCCACGCAAGATATGCGACCATTTCACAGATGCAGACACACAAGATATGCTACCATCTCACAGATGCAGACACACAAGATATGCCACCATTTCCAACACGCAGACACGCAAGATATGCTACCATTTCACAGATGCAAACACACAAGATATGCCATTATTTCAAAGATGCAGGCACGCAAGATATGCTACCATTTCAGAGATGCAGAGTCTCAAGGTATGCTACCATTTCATAGATGCAAACAAAATATCTGCCACTATTTTACAGCTGCAGACACAATATATGCCACCATTTTACAGATGCAGACACACAAGATAGTCTACCATTTCACAGATGCAGACACACAAGATATGCCACTATTTCACAGGTGCAGACGCAGAATATATGCCACCACTTCACAGATGCAGACACACAAGATATGCCACCACTTCACAGATGCAGACACACAAGATATGCCACTATTTCACAGGTGCAGACGCAGAAAATATGTCACCACTTCACAGATGCAGACACACAAGATATGCCATCACTTCAGAGATGCAGACACACAAGATATGCCACCACTTCACAGATGCAGACACACAAGATATACCACCACTTCACAGATGCAGACATACAAGATATGCCATTATTTCACAGATGCAGACACTCAAGATATGCTACCATTTCCAATATGCAGACACGCAAGATATGCTACCATTTCACAGATGCAAACACACAAGATATGCCATTATTTCACAGATGCAGGCACGCAAGATATGCTACCATTTCAGAGATGCAGACACTCAAGATATGCTACCATTTCATAGATGCAAACAAAATATCTGCCACTATTTTATAGATGCAGACACACAATATATGCCACCATTTTACAGAGGCAGACACACAAGATAGTCTACCATTTCACACATGCAGACACATAAGACATGACACCACTTCACAGATGCAGACACACAAGATATGCCACTATTTCACAGGTGCAGACGCAGAAAATATGCCACCACTTCACAGATGCAGACACACAAGATACTCCACTATTTCACAGATGCAAACACACAAAATATGCCACCATTTCACAGATGCAGACACATAAGATATGCTACCATTTCAAAGATGTAGACACAAAAGACATACTACCATTTCGCAGATGCAGACACACAAGACATACTACCATTTCACGGATGCAGCCACGCAAGATATGCGACCATTTCACAGATGCAGACACACAAGATATGCTACCATCTCACAGATGCAGACACACAAGATATGCCACCATTTCCAACACGCAGACACGCAAGATATGCTACCATTTCACAGATGCAAACACACAAGATATGCCATTATTTCAAAGATGCAGGCACGCAAGATATGCTACCATTTCAGAGATGCAGAGTCTCAAGGTATGCTACCATTTCATAGATGCAAACAAAATATCTGCCACTATTTTACAGCTGCAGACACAATATATGCCACCATTTCACAGATGCAGACACACAAGATATGCCACTATTTCACAGGTGCAGACGCAGAATATATGCCACCACTTCACAGATGCAGACACACAAGATATGCCACCACTTCACAGATGCAGACACACAAGATATGCCACTATTTCACAGGTGCAGACGCAGAAAATATGTCACCACTTCACAGATGCAGACACAAGATATGCCATCACTTCAGAGATGCAGACACACAAGATATGCCACCACTTGACAGATGCAGACACACAAGATATACCACCACTTCACAGATGCAGACATACAAGATATGCCATTATTTCACAGATGCAGACGCAGAAGATATGCCACTAATTCACATATGCAGACACACAAGATATGTCACCACGCTATAAACATGCAGACACACAAGATATGCCACCATTTCACAGATGCAGCCACGCAAGATATGCCATTATTTCACAGATGCAAACACACAAGATATGCCATCACTTCACAGATGCAGACGCAGAAGATTTGCCACCACTTTACAGATGCAGACACAAGATATGCCATTATTTCACAGATGCAGACGCAGAAGATATGCCATCAATTCACAGGTGCAGACACACAAGATATGTCACCCCGTTATAAACATACAGACACACAAGATATGCAACCACTTCACAGATGCAGTCACGCAAGATATGCCATTATTTCACAGATGCAAACACACAAGATATGCCATCACTTCACAGATGCAGACGCAGAAGATTTGCCACCACTTTACAGATGCAGACATACAAGATATGCCACCACTTCACAAATGCAGACACACAAGATATGTTACCACGTTATAGACACGCAGACACACAAGATATGCCACCACTTCACAGATGCAGCCACGCAAGATATGCCATTATTTCACAGATGCAAACACACAAGATATGCTATCACTTCACAGATGCAGACGCAGAAGATTTGCCACCACTTCACAGATGCAGACACACAAGATTTGCCACCTCTTCACAGATTCAGTCACACAAGATATGCCACCACTTCACAGATGCAGACACGCAAAATATGCCACCATTTCTTAGGATGCAGACACGCAAGATATGCTACCATTTCATAGATGCACAGATTAAACCAGCCATAGCCCCCGGGCTCAACGAAGAGAATCCATTGGAGCCTGACCCAGCTGAGTTGGACAGTAGGTTGAGAGCTCCATTGGCCCCACCGGCTATGTTGCCATTTGTATTACCGTTAGCGTTAGCGTTTGCGTTTGCGTTGGCATTTGCATTTGCGTTGGCGTTCGGATCTGGTGTCTGAGTGGGTGGTGGTGGAACGGTAGTGACAAGCACGTATTGGAGGTCCAGCTGGAGACACACAAGATATGCTACCATTTCACAGATGCAGACACACAATATATACTACCATTTCACAGATGCAGACACGCAAGATATGCTACCATTTCAAAGATACAGATACACAAGATATGCTAAGATTTCACAGATGTAGACACACAAGATATGCTATCATTTCACAGATGCAAACACACAAAATATGCCACCATTTCACATATGCAGACACATAAGATATGCTACCATTTCAAAGATGTAGACACAAAAGACATACTACCATTTCGCAGATGCAGACACACAAGATATACAACCATTTCACGGATGCAGCCACGCAAGATATGCGACCATTTCACAGATGCAGACACACAAGATATGCTACCATCTCACAGATGCAGACACACAAGATATGCCACCATTTCCAACACGCAGACACGCAAGATATGCTACCATTTCACAGATGCAAACACACAAGATATGCCATTATTTCAAAGATGCAGGCACGCAAGATATGCTACCATTTCAGAGATGCAGAGTCTCAAGGTATGCTACCATTTCATAGATGCAAACAAAATATCTGCCACTATTTTACAGCTGCAGACACAATATATGCCACCATTTTACAGATGCAGACACACAAGATAGTCTACCATTTCACACATGCAGACACACAAGATATGCCACCACTTCACAGATGCAGACACACAAGATATGCCACTATTTCACAGGTGCAGACGCAGAAAATATGCCACCACTTCACAGATGCAGACACACAAGATACTCCACTATTTCACAGATGCAAACACACAAAATATGCCACCATTTCACAGATGCAGACACATAAGATATGCTACCATTTCAAAGATGTAGACACAAAAGACATACTACCATTTCGCAGATGCAGACACACAAGATATACAACCATTTCACGGATGCAGCCACGCAAGATATGCGACCATTTCACAGATGCAGACACACAAGATATGCTACCATCTCACAGATGCAGACACACAAGATATGCCACCATTTCCAACACGCAGACACGCAAGATATGCTACCATTTCACAGATGCAAACACACAAGATATGCCATTATTTCAAAGATGCAGGCACGCAAGATATGCTACCATTTCAGAGATGCAGAGTCTCAAGGTATGCTACCATTTCATAGATGCAAACAAAATATTCGCCACTATTTTACAGCTGCAGACACAATATATGCCACCATTTTACAGATGCAGACACACAAGATAGTCTACCATTTCACACATGCAGACACACAAGATATGCCACCACTTCACAGATGCAGACACACAAGATATGCCACTATTTCACAGGTGCAGACGCAGAATATATGCCACCACTTCACAGATGCAGACTCACAAGACATGCTACCACTTCACAGATGCAGACACACAAGATATGCCACTATTTCACAGGTGCAGACGCAGAATATATGCCATCACTTCAGAGATGCAGACACACAAGATATGCCACCACTTCACAGATGCAGACACACAAGATATACCACCACTTCACAGATGCAGACATACAAGATATGCCATTATTTCACAGATGCAGACGCAGAAGATATGCCACTAATTCACATATGCAGACACACAAGATATGTCACCACGCTATAAACATGCAGACACACAAGATATGCCACCATTTCACAGATGCAGCCACGCAAGATATGCCATTATTTCACAGATGCAAACACACAAGATATGCCATCACTTCACAGATGCAGACGCAGAAGATTTGCCACCACTTTACAGATGCAGACACACAAGATATGCCATTATTTCACAGATGCAGACGCAGAAGATATGCCATCAATTCACAGGTGCAGACACACAAGATATGTCACCCCGTTATAAACATACAGACACACAAGATATGCAACCACTTCACAGATGCAGTCACGCAAGATATGCCATTATTTCACAGATGCAAACACACAAGATATGCCATCACTTCACAGATGCAGACGCAGAAGATTTGCCACCACTTTACAGATGCAGACATACAAGATATGCCACCACTTCACAAATGCAGACACACAAGATATGTTACCACGTTATAGACACGCAGACACACAAGATATGCCACCACTTCACAGATGCAGCCACGCAAGATATGCCATTATTTCACAGATGCAAACACACAAGATATGCTATCACTTCACAGATGCAGACGCAGAAGATTTGCCACCACTTCACAGATGCAGACACACAAGATTTGCCACCTCTTCACAGATTCAGTCACACAAGATATGCCACCACTTCACAGATGCAGACACGTAAAATATGCCACCATTTTACGGATGCAGACACGCAAGATATGATGCAGACACACAATATATCCCATTACTTCACAGATGCAGACACAAGATTTGCAGACACACAAGATTTGCCACTTCACAGATGCAGACACACAAGATATGCCACCACTTCACAGATACAGACGCAGAAGATATATAATGCCCCCAAAACAGAAACACAAAATGGATAAAAACGTATATTTAAGTGGTATTCTACATGATATTCAATTTTTTGTTTAGTTTTGAGAGATGAAGTGGTACAAAATGCCATTTCCTATCAGATGGAAGTTTTCTTCAGAATTGTTCAGACAGAACAACATGGAAATTGACCAAAACGAAGCCACATGCTAAGCATGTCACATCCATGAACTGCACCTGAAACATGCCTGCATTAGCAATAAATGTGTGGGGTGTTCAACTGAATGGCAATTGTTGCTAAAGCAAACGAGAATTCTGACAAATGCCACGCCTCAGCGACGCTATCGGCAGATTGGAAGCTGGTGAATCCACGTTCTGTTGTGGCCAGACTGTTCAACGTGTTGCCAAGCACCATAACAAGACATGTGGAACGTATGTCAAAATCAAAGAACAACACGTTACCGACTCAGAACAGAGTGACCACGAGTGACCAAGGGGCGGGACCGATACATCAGCTTTCGTCATCTACGAGACAGAACCACAATCCTCTACGGCATCCAACATACCGGATATGTGTAGGGTATCGGCCCAAACAGTTAGGAACCTATTATGAAAAGCAGGACATCTTGCAAGACGTCCTGTTCTTGGGGTCGTTTTAACAGCACAGCACCGTCAAAACCAATGTCAGTTATATCAAGCACACTTGGTATTTGTTGCTTTGTGACCTTGACCACTGTATGATTGTTTTGGTAAAAATTGTTCTTTGTCGCATTTTTCCTTTTCAAATTAAATGTTTCTGAATTTTATAACCATTTTATAATTCTATAATCTTCATGTGCGTTTCTTTTAGGGTGAGTATGCTATCATTTTACAGATAGTGACACGCAACACAAACCACCATTTTAAAGATGGATACACACAAGTGTACAAATGGAGATTTAAAGATAACATTATTTCACATTTACAAATGAAGAGTGGTTTCAGGTCGTGAGATACAAACAATACAAGCGTGATTTCCGCTATTGAGACACAAACAATACAAGTGTGGTTTCAGTTCGAGAGATACAAGCAATACAAGTGTGGCTTCAGCTCCACAGACACAGACAATACAAGTGTGGCTTCAGCTCCACAGACACAGACAATACAAGTGTGGCTTCGGCTCCACAGACAATACAAGTGGGGCTTACAGCTCCACAGACACAAACAATGCAAGTGTGGTTTCAGCAGTGTTCATAGTTAAAGCTAGATACTCATAAGAATGTTTCCATAGTGACAGCTAGATACCCACTAGAAATACTTCGATAGTGACGGCTAGATACCAACAAGAAATTCTTCAATAGTTACAGCTAGATACTCCAGAATGTTTGTATAGTTACAGCTAGAGACACACAGGAATGCTTCCATAGTGACAGGTACATACCCACAAGAATTTTTTCCATAATTACACCTAGATACTCCAGAAATGTTTCAATAGTTACAGCTAGATACTCACAAGAAATGCTTTCATAGTGAGAGCTAGATACCCACAAGAAATGCTTCCATAGTTACAGCTAGATACCGACGAGGCATGCTTTCATAGTGACACCTAGAATCCCACAAGAACTCTTTCTATAGTTACAGCTAGATACCCACAAGAAATGTCCCCATAGTTACAGCTAGATACCCACAAGAAATGTCCCCATAGTTACAGCTAGATACCAACAAGAAATGTTTCTATAGTGACAGCTAGATGCCCACAAGTAATGTTTCCATAGTTACAGCTAGATACCCAGAAGAAATGTTTCTATAGTTACAGCTAGATACCCTCAAGAAATGTTTCCATAGTTACAGCCAGATACCCACAAGTAATGTTTCTATAGTTACAGCTAGATACCAACAAGAAATGTTTCTATAGTTACTGCAAGATACCCTCAAAACATGTTTCCATAGTGACAGCTAAACACCCACAAGAAATGTTTCCATAGTTACAGCTAGATGCCCTCAAGAAATTTTTCCATAGTTACAGGTAGATACCCACAAGACATGTTTCTATAGTTACAGCTAGATACCCAGAAGAAATGTTTTTATAGTTACAGCTAGATACCAACAAGAAATGTTTCTATAGTTACAGCTAGATACCAACAAGAAATGTTTCTATAGTTACAGCTAGATACCAACAGGAAATGTTTCCATAGTTACAGCTAGATACCCACAAGAAATGTTTCTATAGTTACAGCTAAATACCCACAAGACATGTTTCTATAGTTACTGCTAGATACCCTCAAAACATGTTTCTATAGTTACAGCTAGATACCAACAAGAAATGTTTCCATAGTTACAGGTAGATACCCTCAAGAAATGTTTCCATAGTTACAGCTAGATACCCACAAGACATGTTTCTATAGTTACAGCTAGATACCAACAAGAAATGTTTCTATAGTTACAGCAAGATACCCTCAAGAAATGTTTTCATAGTTACAGCTAGATACCCAAATGAAAATGAAGAACGTGAACATGAACCCCTAATGCGCTGAAGCTTGTTTACTGATTCAATGTTACGAGTTGACTGTCTGAACAGAATCTGAAATTTTACAAACATTCCTTATAATAATCACATAATATTCATTTTTTTCATCTTTGTCTTTGTAGATAATGTAGCCCCCAAACATCCCTTCTCTTTTTCCGAATGGTGAACATGGCATATGGAACATCACATGTCATATCCACTGTGTTTTAACAATGCTGTTGGGGATTATCTGGTGTGGGCATGTGAGCACAATGGGGTGGTGGACTTTGCTACATCAGAGACTTAGGGGAGCCACGAATACTGTGGAACCATCAAAACACAGAACATTTCAGCTTAGTGTTGACATTTCTGGACAGTTCTCAATACAATAGAAGGGGACACACCCTCTTCTCCATCACCTCACATGAAGACTAGCGTTTGCACCCTGGAGCTCGGGCCTGTTTTGAAAGCTTGACCACTATTGTCTCAAGGTGAACAATATTATCACTGACTATTGCTATTATAGTTGTCATACTGTTTTATACTTCGCTTGTAATAGTAAACCCACCGCATATTGATCTGCTTCTATATTTGCTGATACTGTCATTTCCGTAAAACCAGCCATACAACGTACCTTAGTCTCGCTCTTTCTTTGAGGATTCCCATTATCAATGACTTCAACGTCACATTTGAAGTTCTGTCCTCCAACAAACCCAGTAGCCATCGAGCTGGATAGTCGGACTTTGCAGTCAGCGCCGATAGTGATGTATCCATCCAGAGCGGCGTCGCATTGCTTGGCTCTACACGTGAACATACCGTTTGTCAGAGCGTCCAGATCGTCAGCTACCATGGCAAGGATCTCTTTCCCCTCAACGTCGGTGTTAAACACTTGGCCGAAGTAACTTGCCTGCTCAAATATGGGGTCGTTGTCGTTCACCTGGACATAGAATATAGCGTGTATTAGACTGCCAGTATATTGCGGGAAGGACGGACAGGGTATTCATCCGCTTGATGTATAGTCTATATAACGGAACCTTCTATCCAATTTCAATTAGCAGCATTTGAGACTTATAGTTGCGTTATGTTATTAAACTGTGCAGCTACCTCCAATACTGTCACTGCAACGTCAAATTTGACTTTAGCTGCAGGTAGGTCTCCTTTATCTACGAACTCGACCTTGAGATCAATCAGTTCCTTGTCTGCCTTCTTGTCTCGCAGCTCGGGGTCAAGCTCAATCGCTGCCCTAAGACACAGCGTGCAGTCAGCGCCACTAATTGCGAAGGAGTCCTTGTACTTTGCCGGGTCAGTGATCGTCCACTTCCATTTGTCGACATCGCCGATGTCGGGGTCGAAGCCACCGCAGCCTAAATTCACACAGTGGTTCACTTGATCCTGAAATGTAGATGTCATGAAGGGGACTTGTAGTGAACACACAATATCAAGAAGGCAACGTGTAGTGAAAACAAAATGTAAAGATAGTAACGTGTATTAAAGACACAATGTAAAGATGGTAACATGTAGTGAAGACACAATGTCAAGAAGGTAACATGTAGTGGAGACACAATGTCATGAAGGTAACGTGTAGTGGAGACACAATGTCAAGAAGGTAACATGTAGTGAAGACACAATGACAAGGTAACATGTAGTGAAGACACAATGTCAAGAAGGTAACATGTAGTGACGACAATGTCAAGAAGGTAACATGTAGTGGAGACACAATGTCCAGATTGTAACATGTAGTGAAGACACAATGTCATGAAGGTAACATGTAGTGAAGACACAATGTAAAGATGGTAACATGTAGTGAAGACACAATGTAAAGAAGGTAACATGTTGTGAAGACACAATGTCAAGAATGTAACATGAAGTGAAGACAATGTCAAGAAGGTAACATGTAGTGAAGACACAATGAAAAGATGGTAACATGTAGTGAAGACAATGTCAAGAAGGTAACATGAAGTGAAGACACAATGTCATGAAGGTAACATGTAGTGAAGACACAATGTCAAGAAGGTAACGCGTAGTCAAGACACATTGCCAAGAAGGTAACATGTAGTGACGACAGATGGTAAAGATGGTAACGTGTAGTTAAGACACAATGTAAAGAAGGTAACTTGTAGTGACGACACATTGTTAAGATGGTAACGTGTAGTGAAGACACAATGTAAAGATGGTAACATATAGTGACGACACAATGTAAAGATGGTAACATGTAGTGACGACACAATGTAAAGATGGTAACATGTAGTGACGACACATTGTAAAAATGGTAACGTGTAGTGGAGACACAATGTAAAGATGGTAACATGTAGTGAAGACACAATGTCAAGAAGGTAACATGTAGTGGAGACACGGTGTCATGAAGGTAATGTGTTGTGGAGACACAATGTCAAGAAGGTAACATGGAGTGAAGACACAATGTCAAGAAGGTAACATGCAGTGACGACACAATGTAAAGAAGGTAACATGTAATGAGGACACAATATCAAGAAGGTAACATGTAGTGAAGACAATGTCAAGAAGGTAACATGTAGTGGAGACACAAAGTCGAGATTGTAACATGTAGTGAAGACACAATGTCATGAAGATAACATGTAGTGAAGACACATGTAAAGATGGTAACATGTACTGAAGACACAATGTAAAGAAGGTAACATGTTGTGAAGACACAATGTCAAGAAGGTAAGATGTAGTGGAGACACAATGTCATGAACGTAACATGTAGTGGAGACACAATGAAAAGATGATAACATGTAGTGGAGACACAATGTCAAGAAGGTAACATGTAGTGGAGACACAATGTCAAGAAGGTAACATGTACTGAAGACACAATGTAAAGAAGGTAACATGTTGTGAAGACACAATGTCAAGAAGGTAACATGTAGTGAAGACAAAATGTCAAGAAGGTAACATGTAGTGAAGACAAAATGTCAAGAAGGTAACATGTAGTGAAGACAAAATGTCAAGAAGGTAACATGAAGTGAAAACACAATGTCAAGAAGGTAACATGTAGTGAAGACACAATGTCAAGAAGGTAACATGTAGTGAAGACATAATGTCAAGAAGGTAACATGTAGTGAAGACACAATGTCAAGAAGGTAACATGTAGTGAAGACACAATGTCATGAAGGTAACATGTAATGAGGACACAATATCAAGAAGGTAACATGTAGTGAAGACAATGTCAAGAAGGTAACATGTAGTGGAGACACAAAGTCCAGATTGTAACATGTAGTGAAGACACAATGTCATGAAGATAACATGTAGTGAAGACACAATGTCATGAAGATAACATGTAGTGAAGACACATGTAAAGATGGTAACATGTACTGAAGACACAATGTAAAGAAGGCAACGTGTAGTGAAAACAAAATGTAAAGATGGTAACGTGTAGTGAAGACACAATGTAAAGATGGTAACATGTAGTGACGACACATTGTAAAAATGATAACGTGTAGTGAAGACGCAATGTAAAGATAGTAACGTGTATGAAAGACACAATGTAAAGATTGTAACATGTAGTGAAGACACAATGTAAAGATGGTAACATGTAGTGGAGACACAATGTATAGATGGTAACGTGTAGTGAAGACACAATGTCAAGAAGGTAACATGTAGTGACGACACATTGTAAATATGGTAACGTGTAGGGAAGACACAATGTAAAGATGGTAACATGTAGTGAAGACACAATGTAAAGATGGTAACATATAGTGGAGAGACAATGTCATGAAGGTAACGTGTTGTGAAGACACAATGTCAAGAAGGTAACATGTAGTGAAGACAATGCCAAGAAGGTAACATGCAGTGACGACACAATGTCAAGAAGTTAACGTGTAGTGAAGACACAATGTAAAGAAGGTAACATGTAGTAACGACACATTGTAAAGATGGTAACGTGTAGTGAAGACACAATGTCAAGAAGGTAACATGTAATGAGGAAACAATATCAAGAAGGTAATGTGTAGTGAAAAAGAATCTGGGATTAAATTCATTAATGCAAATTTTAGTTTCCGAATGAGACATATAAAAAACAGGTTCACCTCTTGGAACTCAGCGGAGTATTTCAACCCGTTAGTGACGCCCGGAGCCTCATTGACGTCATCTAGGTCCAAGTACGTGACGATGTCGTCAGACGTCCAGCAGCCATCATTGACGTTAACAAAAAAAGTGTACTTGTTCAACGTCTCGTAATCCAGCTCCCTACCAGCACGTAGTTTAATTGAAATGACTGAAAGAAGAACGTAAAAACTCATGAGGGAACGGAACAGTTCCTTGTACTGAAATAAGCTTGTGTTGAGGGTTGGATGAGTTAAGCTGTTTGTTGGTGCTGAAATAAGCTTGTGTTGAGGGTTGGGTGAGTTAAGCTGTTTGCTGGTGTTGACATAAGCTTGTCTGGAGAGTTGGTTGAGTTAAGCCGTTTGTTGGCTCTGGGATAAGCATGTGTTGAGGGTTGGGTGAGTTAAGGTGCTTCTTGGTGCTGGGATAAGCTTGTGTTCAGGTTTTTTTCAGTTAAGCTGTTTGTTGGTGCTGGATGAGCTTGTCTTCAGGGTTCGTTGAGTTACACTGTTTGTGTATAAGCTTGTGTTGAAGGTTGGGTGAGTTAAGCTGTTTGTTGGTGCTGAAATAAGCTTGTGTTGAGGGTTGGGTGAGTTACGGTGCTTCTTGGAGCTGGGATAAGCTTGTGTTCAGGTTTTTTTCAGTTAAGCTGTTTGTTGGTGCTGGATGAGCTTGTGTTCAGGGTTCGTTGAGTTACACTGTTTGTGTATAAGCTTGTGTTGAGAGTTGGTTGAGTTAAGCTGTTTGTTGGTGCTGAAATAGGCTTGTGTTGAGGATTGGATGAGTTAAGCTGTTTGTTGGTGCTGAGATAAGCTTGTGTTGAGGGTTGTTTTGAGATAAGCTGCTTGTTGGTGCTGGGATAAGCTTGTGTTGAGGGTTGGATGATTTAAGCTGCTTGTTGGTGCTGGGATAAGCTTGTGTTTAGGGTTGGTTGAGTTAAGCTGTTTGTTGGTGCTGGGATGAGCTTGTGTTGTGGGTTGGATCAGTTAAGCTGCTTGTTGGTGCTGGGATAAGCTTGTGTTCAGGGGTGGGTGAGTTACGCTGTTTGTTGGTGCTGGGATAAGCGTGTGCTGAGTGTCTGACGACCAGTATTTTTACTACTACCAGGTAGAACGTCAACACTGTTTCTACAAGGGTCTGATGACCAGTACTGTTACTACTACCAGGTAGAACGTCAACACTGTCACTACAAGGGTCTGACGACCAGTAGTGTCACTGCTACCAGGTAGAACGTCAACACTGTCACTACAAGGGTCTGACGACCAGTAGTGTTACTACTACCAGGTAAAACGTCACCACTGATACTACAAGGGTCTGCTTGCACTGAGGGTTGGTTGAGTTAAGCTGTTTGTTGGTGCTGGAATGAGCTTGTGTTGAGGGTTGGTTGAGTTACTCTGTGTACAAGCTTGTGTTGAGGGTTGGTTGAGTTAAGCTGTTTGTTGGTTCTGAAATAAGCTTGTGTTGAGGGTTGGTTGAGTTAAGCTGTTTGTTGGTGCTGAAATAAGCTTGTGTTGAGGGTTGGGTGAGTTAAGGTGATTCTTGGTGCTGGGATAAGCTTGTGTTCAGGGTTTTTTCAGTTAAGCTGTTTGTTGGTGCTGGATGAGCTTGTGTTGAGGGTTCGTTGAGTTAAGCTGTTTGTTGGTGCTGGGATAAGCTTGTATTGAGGGTTGGATCAGTTAAGCTGTTTGTTGGTGCTGAAATACGCTTGTGTTGAGGGTTGGTTGAGAAAAGCTGTTTGTAAATGCTGGGATAAGTTTCTGTTGAGGGTTGGATGATTTAAGCTGCTTGTTGGTGCTGAGATAAGCTTGTGTTGAGGGTTGGTTGAGTTAAGCTGTTTGTTGGGCCTGGGATAAGCTTGTGTTGTGGGTTGGATCAGTTAAGCTGTTTGTTGGTGCTGGGATAAGCTTGTGCTGAGTGTCTGACGACCAGTATTGTTGCTACTACCAGGTAGAAACGTCAACACTGGTACTACAAGAGGCTGATGACCAGTACTGTTACTACTACCAGGTACAACGTCACCACTGTTACTACAAAGGTCTGCATGCATTGAGGGTTGGTTGAGTTACACTGTTTGTGTATAAGCTGTTTGTTGGTGCTGGGATGAGCTTGTGTTGAGGGTTGGTTGAGTTACACTGTTTGTGTATAAGCTGTTTGTTGGGCCTGGGATAAGCTTGTGTTGTGGGTTGAATCAGTTAAGCTGTTTGTTGGTGCTGAGATAAGCTTGTGTTGAGGGTTGGAAGATTTAAGCTGTTGGTTGGTGCTGAGATACGCTTGTGTTGAGGGTTGGATCAGTTAAGCTGTTTGTTGGTTCTGGGATACCCTGGTGTTGAGGGTTGTTGAGTTAAGCTGTT